ACATGTTATCAATTTTTGCGATAAAAAACGTACATAGTTTATTTTCAAAAATTCAAACTTAATAAAATATAATAAATGAAAAGTAATCATTCATATTGCTTTTTAATGATTTTTTTATTTGTTGAAAGTAAAAGCAAAATGTTAACAGTGTGTAACCTTGATTAAAAATAAACAAAAACTAAAGAGGTTTTGAAGTGGGGAGGGGTATTCTACCCTGTTAGAACTTGTCGTGGTGTTTCGGTGTTTTTTTTCAACAACACACTTAGTATCGGTAATTAGTCTCATTAGCAACCGAACACCGCCACTCTAGACATGCGCAGTGGGCCTTTCGCTTTCAGAACTCCCTCGTTCGTCGTGCTTAAAAACAAAACTTATTTTAAAAAATTGTTGGTTGTTAGGGGTGGGGGTGGTGCTGGGAGTGGTAGGGGCGCTAATAAGCAGGGGGTGTGGGCGCTATTAAAGGAGGGGAGGGCGTGTGGGGGCGATATAATGCTGGCGTGAACGGTTATTGTGCCAGATAGTTTGTATCGATAAAGTCTTAAATTACTTGGAGATTTTTTTTTTCACTGTGTTTTCTTTTTGTTTTATTGACTTTTTAAAATCGAACAGGTTAAAAAAAAACAGGTTAATAAAAAATGTTGGAAAAGTTGCATCCCAAAAAAGTTGTGGGTTGGTGTGGTCTGTGTGTGGGTTGGGCTGTGGTGTGGGTGAAGGTGAGGGGATGAGTGCAGGGGATTAACATGATGCATGGTCTTTTGATCAGTGAATGGTGATACCGTATATTTTGCGTACATATGACAAAAGAGTTATGTCAAATTACGTATTACAACTCCCATTACATAATACTTACAGCAACTTACATATGACAACTTACTTATGACAGCTGGTCAGTTTATCAGGGAATGATGACACTATATATTTGAAGGTTTTCATATAATAGCCGACAAATGACAAAGGAAAAAAAAATTCATAAAAAACGTTTTAATAACAAGCTTTTATGTAATGATGCACTAAAAAGTAGAAAATAAATTATAGACTACTATTTAAATAACTATAAAGAAAAGCGTGGGTCACTTTAGTATCTATTGGATACCTTTACTAATGTTAAGGAAGACACCCACGCTTTTCTTTATAGTTATTTAAATAGTAGTCTATAATTTATTTTCTACTTTTTAGTGCAGCATCATTACACAAAAGCTTGTTATTAAAACGTTTTTTATGAATTTTTTTTTCAGTACTTTACATGTTTTATCTACAATAGAGTTACATGACTAAAAACCATTGCGCGCCTACTGAATATCACGTTCAGTAGGCGCGCAATGGTTTTTGAACGCAGCCATTACGTGGTCGTGATGGCGCAGCTATTGATGACGCGTGTGGTGTGGTTGGCTAGACATGCCTACTAATTCGGTCCAAATTTTAAATAATTCATAAAAAAATTAATTAGGCATCCAATTAAGTCAAATTTAGATTCAGATTGCATTGTCTTTATGTCTTGACCCACGTGCCAACTGTGAATCGTATCGGTCAAGTAGAACTGTCCGAATTTTCACTCCTGCGTTTCCGTCTAGACTGACGACTGACGACTGACGAGGAAGTGAGTTAAATAAAAGCTTGGAAAAAAATTCATAAAAAACGTTTTAATAACAAGCTTTTATGTAATGATGCACTAAAAAGTAGACAATAAATTATAGACTACTATTTAAATAACTATAAAGAAAAGCGTGGGTCACTTTAGTATCTATTGGATACCTTTACTAATGTTAAGGAAGACACCCACGCTTTTCTTTATAGTTATTTAAATAGTAGTCTATAATTTATTTTCTACTTTTTAGTGCATCATTACATAAAAGCTTGTTATTAAAACGTTTTTTATGAATTTTTTTTTCAGTACTTTACATGTTTTATTTACAATAGAGTTACATGACTAAAAACCATTGCGCGCCTACTGAACATCACGTTCAGTAGGCGCGCAATGGTTTTTGAACGCAGCCATTACGTGATGGCGCAGCTATTGAAGGTGATGACGCGTGTGGTGTGGTTGGCTAGACATGCCTACTAATTCGGTCCAACTTTTAATTAATTCATAAAAAATTAATTAGGCATCCAATTAAGTCAAATTTAGTTTCAGATTGCATTGTCTTCATGTCTTGACCCACGTGCCAACTGTGAATCGTATCGGTCAAGTAGAACTGTCCGAATTTTCACTCCTACGTTTCTATCTAGACTGACGACAGACTGTCGACAGACAGAGGAAGTGAGTTAAATAAAAGCTTGTAAAAATAGTGACTTTCATATGACAACTTATATATATATATATATATATATATATATATATATATATATATATATATATATATATATATATATATATATATATATATATATATATATATATATATATATATATATATATATATATATATATATATATATATATATATATATATGTATATATATATATAGTATATATATATATATATATACATATATATATATATATATATATATATATATATATATATATATATATATATATATATATATATATATATATATATATATATATATATATATACACAAATGACAACTTAAATATAACGACTGACCGACGAGTGACAATTGATAGAAAACTGACAACTGACAGACATCTGACAATTGACATTAATGCGTGGTATTGGACTTAGTGTTTGCTACCCTTAACCACGTAAGGTCAGGAAAGATTTTAACACTTTAACGAAATTTAGCCCTGTTGTGTGTGTGTTCTCATGTGTGTGTATGTGTGTGGGGATGGGGTAGGTTATAAATGCTTCGAAGGTCATTTTATGAGGCTAAAATTTCAATTTCACAATTCTCACTATTTCACAAAATTTTCACTCCACAAAAAAAAAGGTCCTAAATTAAAGTAATTTCAACATTTTGTTATTTCTAGCTTTTCAAAATTTAATCACGCTGTTTCCGCCATTTTCCATTTAAAAAAAAAAAAATTGCTCTTTGATTATGAGAGATGTGTTCATCCCTTTTTGCTAATTATAAACATGGTTCTCTCTCCTTTCCCTTATTCCTTTAATGTTCTATCCCATAATAGTTTGTGTTGGCCTCATTTCTATACTATTTTTTATTGACGGATCCCAAACTCTCTCCCATACTCCCCCCCCCCCCATACATTTTACATTTATACAAAAGGAAATAATTTATCCCTTTTCATCTTAAACATTTTTTTTTCTAAATTAAATTAAAAACACTAAATAATATCTCAATACCATATTTAAAGACATCCCGACCGATGCTTCACGAACTACCGTCATTGCTTTCAAACAACTTGGTTCACACAGTGAATAATTGTTCAAGAGCTGACAATATTTCCCATCAAATTCTAAATTCACAAGAACATCCCCCTCCCTCCCCCCCCGCCCTCCCCACACCGTTTTCATCAGTGAGCTTAAAACAGACTTCTGTCAAGCTGTAATATCGCAATTAAAGACACAACCTCATTACCAACCTAACCCAGCTTTATACCTGTTCCTCCACCCGTATGTAATCGTTCGATGAAGCCGATCAAAGATTTGAAAATAGATCAGACAGCCTGGACAAAAAATGTGATATAAACAATGGAGGATTTTACTCGCGTGGGTACACACAGCGTCGTTCTGGGGTTTCTCTCTGAAAGAATTGTGTAATTTAATTTGCTGGGTATTTTTATAATTTTTTAAAATATTTATTTTTGTAACATCTATCTAAACTTGGTTCTATTTTTGTTTTCTTTCGAAGTAAGGCCTACTTGTTTGTCGCGTTTTTTTTTTCTCCCCGCAGGTTTTCATGCATTTACGCATCTCCCTGTATGCGCATGGCTTGTTTTGCTCGTATATTGATTTGCGCTTTTCTTAGTGTGCGCTATCTTTGCGTGCGCGTATTTTTTGGTTTCTCCATTTCATCGTTTGCGGTTTTCTGTGAATGCGTATTTTTTTCCACGGCTGAACTTTATAACGTGCGTTTTTTTTTTCTTTACTCACGTGATGATCTGCTCACTGCAATACCTGTCTCATGCACCCCCCCCCCCCACTGCGCTACTTCCGGGTCACCCCCGGGCGCATGAAACTGACATGCCTGGGTAGTTACCTGCCCCTTGGTGGGGCGATCAATGCCCTATCCATCTTCGCCTGGTGTCTCCCGCGTTACGTCCAACAATATTTGCACGTCGGTTAAGTTGCACGGCAAATTTGGGTCTCGTATTTTTTTAACATTGATTGGCCAGGGCGGAACAACATTGCCGGGTTTAATTATTGATAAGTGAAAATGGGTTGGGGGGAAAAAATATTTCGCGTAAAACTGAGGGTGAATTTTTTTTATGAATTACCTCCCCCACCATGCAAACGTAATTTGTTTTGTATTTTGCTTGCATCGCATACACATATACACATAACCCACATACACTCAACTCACAAACATACCATACGGACTCGTTGTTGTATCTTACATACAACACACATACACTTACACAAAAACACTCACCCACACATAATTAACCACACACCAGCCCACCACACACTCGCTCACCACATCCCACACAACACCTCTTCAAACCACGAGCTCCCACAATACATTTCATCGTAGTTCAGTCTAAATTTAGCTCGTGTATTATTCAAACCGGAAATTCCTGGAAATCAAACGGATAAATGTCTGGCATATTGGAGAGGCACATGAATGGGACCGTCCCTATCCCGACGCGTCAAGCCTTCTATAAATAAACCGGCATAATAAAACGTAAACGCTTATCCAGCTATTTTAAAACGAGTGTTCAGCTTCCTCCTTGCACGTTGCGCGTGCCGTCATCTGCGCTTAGTAATTATCTAATTAATTATTAATTATGTCATTTATATTGATGTGTTTGTTAAATATAAACATCCGTCTAATTATCTTCTTATTTTATAAATAATTAGTATACTTATTATTGAATATAATAAAAATGATTTTTTTTTTTTTTTTTTTTTTTTTTGCAGGGGTTTTGGATTCGTGACCTTTGTTGACCCGGAGAGTATTACCAAGGTTATGGACAGTAAGCCACACCATATAGATTCTAAAGGGGTAAGTGCGCCTTTTTTAAATTTTTGTATATCTTGTGGTAATCAATCATAGGGTTTTATGAAGTTTTTAAAGTCCGCGTTAGTTAACATGATATGAGCGGGATTAAAAAAAATTAAGACGATATAGTTTGGGGTTTGTGGGCATGTACCATTTTTTTGGTCATATTTAGAGAGGTGACCGAGACTTGCAAACATAAATTCTGAATATTCAATAACGGTTGTTACAATAATGTCAACATTCTTTAAGACAATTGTATTTTTTTTTTTTTTAAAAAAAGGTTTAACATGAGAGGTTTAACATTTAACGTTTAGCATGATGGGTCTAACGTTATATGTTTAACATACTTTAAATATGTTTTGAACCACTGGCTACGCCATTTATTTTTTAACATTGTAACATTGGGTTACGATGATATAGATATAACATACACGCGTTATGTAATTTTAAGTTTTACAGTAAATAAACGTGTTTTTAAATGTCTAGTTTTAACTTCCAAAAAATATTCAGTTCACAACCTGTACTAAATCGTTTTTGTGCGAGCTTCCATACGTCTATCACGGTATTAGAAGCAACAGTTGTCTATTCACCGTATGTCTAAATTATTTCCCTTCTTCCTATATCCTTATGAAAAGGGGAGTAATTGGGGCGAATCTTTTTTTAAAAATCCGCTTACTTTGCATATACAATATGAAAATAATTACTACTTAATACATTGTGAAAATTTTGTTTTAGCAAAGCTAATAAAAAACGTATCTAATTAATTAATTATTTGCTATAAAAAACGCGTTTCCACGTTTTAATGACTTTTGTCTTTATTTAATAATGTAGATTTTTTCCCCAAATACCTTGAGTTTCTGTTCCTTGGTTGCTTTACTAAACTTTTTAAACTAGCTATACACGAGCGATATTTAGTGGGTTTATATATTTGTTCTCTTATCTAGCATTTGTATTAATTTAAAAAAAATACGTTTTGTTTTTATAATGATTGTCATGAGCGTTTTATTTGTCGAATTTTCCTTCAATTTTATCCTTAAAAAGTCATTGAGTGGATTTTATTTTTTTCAATCCACGCAAAACAGAAGTTAGAAAAAACAAATTGATTAAAATTTAAAACTTGAATACTTGTTTTTAATCCTAGCAAAAAATAATAAAAATAATAAAAATATTTTTTTTTTTTAAATTGGGGCAATTTTTATTGTTTAATTTCATTATTACTTTTGACCAATCACCGTATCGCGTGTATAAATAGAAACAAACACCAAACACATGTTGAAACAATATCTGTTGGCAACCTGCTGGGGTGAGATGAAATATCATTCTAAATTTCTTTTGTGTTTTTTATGCACTTCGTAACGCATACGCGCTTCGCCAAAACCCCTCGTTTGTTATCGCGGTGATCGAGATTTGACGAGATTTCCACGCATCACGTGTGCAGACAGCGTGACTACTCTGCCACCCTGACCCCCATTGATTTTGTTAACACCCTCGCGGTCAGCTGAGTACCTCAGGCTAAAAGAAGCGCACGTGCATTGAAACAAACGCATGGATTAAAGTTACATTTCACGCTAGATATTCTCAACGTAAATTTTTACAAATTTCAAAAGTAAACAAAAGGCAACCAGTCCGTACGGAGCGTGACCGACCAATTCATTTAATTCCAATTTAATCAAAACTACATGCATTCAACTGTGTATTAAAAAAAAAAACACTAAATTTTCAAAATTTTCAAAGTTTTGTATTCCTGTTTAAAAAATTAATTGCTTTTAAAGTCTATTTTCAATAGTTCGTATTGAGATCGCTAATATTTTAATTTAAATGATAATCCTGTCGGTTTTTGGTTAACCAGGTGATTGAAGTTGTTATTCATTATCCATTCTGTTACTCCAGTGTTCCGTGTCAATTAGTCAGCTTATCCATTTGTTTATCCAATAGCCACTTGCAGACGATTGAAGTTGTTATACATTATCCATTCTGTTACTCCAGTGGTCCGTGTCAATTAGTCAGCTTATCCATTTGTTTATCCATCGGCCACTTGATCCACTTGTTCTTAACTCAACCAATCCTTTGGTCTACTAGTCCTTAAATCCACCAATGCCTCGGTCCACTACTTCTTAAATCCACTGGTCATCTTGTCCTTAAGACAACCAATCACTTGGTCAACCACATTATTGTGTGGATAGCACATCACTTTGGGAACATACCAGCGCATTGTGTTGATAACACATCCTATGTGGATACCACATTATTATGTGGATACCACCTCACGTATTATGTGTGAATGTTACCATGCTTGCAATTTTTCGTGGTTATCCCAATATCCCACTATATGTGGGTACTCCATTATCCCAATGACAGCAATGCTATCCTACTGACCTACCACCTGTGTGTATATCCCAATATCTCACCGTATGTGTAGATAACCCACCGTATGTTTAGATAACCCACCGTATGTTTAGATAACCCACCGTATGTGCAGATAACCCACCGTATGTGCAGATAACCCACCGTATGTTTAGATAACCCACCGTATGTGCAGATAACCCACCGTATGTGCAGAAAACCCATCGTATGTGTAGATAACCCATCGTATGTGTTGATAACCCACCGTATGTACAGATAACCCACCGAATGTGCACATAACCCACCGTATGTGTAGATAACTCACCGTATGTGTTGATAACCCACCGTATGTGTAGATAACCCACCGTATGTGCAGATAACCCACCACATGTGTAGATAACTCACCAACCAACTGAATACACCAGCGGTTGTCTCACCATTACACTCATGTATTGAAGACCCCCCCCCCCCCCTCCCCCCAACCCCCCTCCCCTCAACAACATAACCGTGTCAGTAGGTCAGAACTATCAACGAACATTTCGCCATCACAACTTTCAGACTATAGATCAACTCGGCTATAAATAGCACGCACAATGCTGCTCACTCCCATAGGCGTGAAATACACAATGTCATTGATCCGATGCGCTTCACTGCATCTCTTGCACGCTGGTACGTTTTTTTTTTCTTCTACTGGATCTGCTTGAGCTTCCAGTCTTCCGATAACAAATCTGTTTTTATAGTTTGCATATGATTATGGCATGACATCATCATCTGGCACATATAGAAAGGGTTCGAGTCCCAGCAAAACGGGTTGATAGTTTAGGGTTGGCGTTTTAAACTGGTTGATTGTTTAAGGTTGACGTTTTTGGCGCCTAGTTGAAGACATTTGGCACGCTGATATGTGGAGTTGTGGTACCGCGATACAATATTGTTGGGGAAATAACGGAGAATAAAGTAAAATGGAGAAGCGTTAGGTTTGAATTGAGGGATGTAACCCGTGATATGATTGTAAATGAATTTGTTGATTGTTTTGGCTTGATAGCGATTGGTGTTGACGTAACTCCTGTGTGAGGTGTTGGGTGTTATTTGTGAGGTGTTGGGTGTTATTTGTGAGGTGTTGGGTGTTATTTGTGAGGTGTTTGGTTTTATATGTGAGGTGTTGGGTGTTATTTGTGAGGTGTTGGGTGTTATTTGTGAGGTGTTTGGTTTTATATGTGAGGTGTTGGGTGTTATTTGTGAGGTGTTGGGTGTTATTTGTGAGGTGTTTGGTTTTATATGTGATGTGTTGAGTGTTATTTGTGAGGTGTTGGGTGTTATTTGTGAGGTGTTTGGTTTTATATGTGATGTGTTGGGTGTTATATGTGATGTGTTGAGTGTTATTTGTGAGGTGTTGGGTGTTATTTGTGGGGTGTTGGGTGTTATTTGTGGGGTGTTTGGTTTTATATGTGAGGTGTTGGGTGTTATTTGTGAGGTGTTTGGTTTTATATGTGATGTGTTGAGTGTTATTTGTGAGGTGTTTGGTTTTATATGTGAGGTGTTGGGTGTTATTTGTGAGGTGTTTGGTTTTATATGTGATGTGTTGGGTGTTATTTGTGAGGTGTTTGGTTTTATATGTGATGTGTTGGGTGTTATTTGTGAGGTGTTTGGTTTTATATGTGATGTGTTGGGTGTTATATGTGATGTGTTGAGTGTTATTTGTGAGGTGTTGGGTGTTATTTGTGGGGTGTTTGGAATTTATTTGTCAGGTGTTAAAAGTGATACATCAGGTGTTTCATAAATAAGATGATTTAAGGGGATGGGGGGGGGGGTGGGGGGGAAATCTGTAACTTGTTTAGAGCAAGAGCCGAATTTGGAGCTGTGAAGTTTTAGAACGTTACTTTACGGTCTAAGGCTCATTACTCTACGACCTACACCTCGATACGTTATGACTTACGATTCGCTAAGTTAGAACTTACGACACCCATACAAGTGAATATTTGCTGCTTTTGGTTTGAACTTTAAAACTGTATAGGCACACGTCTTAAATAATAATAAAAAAAAAACACCAGACTAAACCTTTAAACATGTACGCTTTGGTAGACCTCAAATTGAATCCAACTAATTATTACTTCTGATTTTCCATCATTTATTTCTTGTAAATTTTGACGAACTTCTTACTTCAGGAAACGTTTTATTCTGTTTCATTCACTTTCGTTAACACACTTTATTCTATATAAGTTTATAATTTTCTTGTTGACTTTGTCAATTAGTAAACACACAATTTGATCATGGCATCTACACGTTTTGAGGACAACGTTTTAAAATTATTAACATAATAACTAACATAATCAAAATACACACCATGAACCTTACACAAAACTAAATCGGTGTATGTGTTATCTGTACCTAAGCCTCTTTTTTAGTTTGTATGAGAGTCATAGTTTATATATTAACTCGCTGGTACTGGATCGAATCCTACACACGCCTACACATCTCCCATCACATCAGGAGACATTCGACTGTCTCTCTGTATTCTATCTGACTCTCTATCTTCTCTCTGACTGACTCTCTATCTTCTCTCTGACTGACTCTCTAATCAATCCCCTCCCCCCTCCCACCACCCTTCATTGCCTGATACATAATTGCCCGTCCCTGACCGCCCTAGCCCCCAATCTCTAGTA